AAGTTTGCAAGCGTAGCGTATAAACAGAGAACTGATGCCGCATGCGCTACGCTAGTGGATACCCCAGAGCCAGCAGAAGGTGGGCACATGTATTTGTCGGCTATCACAGATACATCTCTAAAGATAGAATATGACGTATATATCAAATCAGTTACTGATAAACTACACAGCATCAAAAAAGAAGAATTTTGCAGAGATCTATTTCGCGTGACAGTGAACACCACAAGCGCGTTGCAAACAAACCCCACTGCAGCCAAGAGCATGCCCACTGGTCGGACACAGTAGTTGGTGAAATCTCGCAGTTGATGCTGAGTTTCCTGCGGAATATTCTGGACTAGACATGCTTGGTATGGAAGCTGGGTCAAGTTATTGGCCATCACTGCACACCTGAAAACATTAACGAAACTCCTTCAAAAAGGTTAGTGTACATTTTCATGGTAATCTTAACGATTGAAAACACAGCACAAACGCTGATGACATAGCGGCCCAGGTTTAAATTTGCTTGGAATCTGTTTAAATCCTCTCCATCATTTGATTTATTATTCCCTCTTTTGTTTTTTTTTGCAACTAATCCAACTAATAAACAACTGTGGTCCTCTTCAAGTTAGCCTGGAGAAAGTTTTGCTACCTAAATACCTTACTATACCTCTGTTATTTAATAGCAGTTATATGATGCCTCCCTGGCTTTGTGGGTGAAATCCAGCTGAGAGAAGATGGACTTGGTAGTCAGATCTGTAGCTTTAAAAAGAAATGCAGAATCTTATTGTCAGGTCAAAACCATCTGAACCCTAAGGAAAAATGAAATATTGAAAAGACTTTGATTGCAAAGCTTTGTGGAATGTATTCAAGGACTTACAACAAAGGCGCGCAGAATATAGCTCAATTGGTTAGTGCGCCGGATTGTGTTGTGCGGGAGGTTGAGGGTTCGAGCCCCGGCCGGACCAATACTCATGGTCTTAAAAATAACTGAGGAGAATTTGCTACCTTTCTATAACAAGAAATGGATAGATATTCTAGTCTCCTCGGATAAGGACGAATAAACCGTAGGCCCCGTCTCCTGCAGGGTTAGGGGTAGGAGACGTTAATTTCCCACGCACGAGACTACTGTGTGGTGGATGTCCTCCCCTCCC